ACGTCAGAGTCCAATGGAGCCTCGTCGTAGGTCGAGACAGCGATTGGAATATCATAATCTTTGCTCAAGGCATTTGTCAAATTGGGCAAAAAGGGGTTTGACCGAATTGATGGAGCGAGAATGGCACACCTCTCCGGGGTGTATTGTTCAATTAGAGGGCGAACCTTTTTGAGTAAAGATTCGGCATCGTCCAAATCCGCATGCAAATAGATAGGCATGGGTCCATCATGTGAGCCTTCGATCTTTTCCGTGCCAGTGATGAGAGTATTGACAAAGGCTGCAGTTTGGTGAGAAAGTCGAAAGCTTTTTGGAAGGCTTAATTTCTCCCAAGGGTAGGGGTTGACATCCTTGAAGGCATCTTCGGCGAGTTGCAGGTATCGGGAATCAGCACCCTTGAATTCATATATGGCCTGATTGGGATCCCCTAGACACAGTAGTCGAGGGGGGTTTTCCTGATTTCTAGATACTGTGGCAAGGAAAGCACAGGTCAACCAGTATAAATTCTCGTTCATGTCCTGCACTTCATCAAGAACCACGAGGTCCACGGTGGATCTCCAGGTGGGTCTTGCATTCTTCTGACGAAGATCAAGAAGGACCTTGTCGTCCTTCACCACGGTCCTGAAGAGCTTGCCAGCTAACCTGTTCAAGGATCAGATAGTGCTAGCGGTTAGAACTCTAATGTACCTACCCATGAAATGTGTATACCTCTTCAAAGCCATAGGGCATGAGTTTGTTGAGTGTATCCACCTGCAGCCTCTTGGAATATGTGATGACAACCATAGAGGTAGAAGGATTATCCTGTAGGATAGCCTTGATCGTGGTGGTTTTTCCAGAACCTGGACGAGCTGAGACCATGACATTAGAAGTCGCACAAGCCTTGACAATGTCATCTTGCTCCTTTGACGGTGTAAAGGCCTCTGGTTTTGGTGGCGGCTTTGGTTGGAGCTTTCGTTTTCGTTTTGGTTGTGGTTTTGGTTGTGGTTTTGGTTGTGGTTTTGGTTGGAGCTTTGGTAGGAGTTTTGGTTGAGGCTTTGTTTGGAGCTTTGGTTGGGGCTTTGGTACGAGTTTTGTTTGAGAGTTTGTTTGGAGCTTTGACTGAGACTTTGCCTTCGAAGACTTGGTTCTGACGTGGAGCATCAACGGGCTTGGCCAGCGAGTGCTTGGACTCAGGAAACGGTGACATGATAATATCGATGAGATGCCCTGGAAATATTAAATGAGTATTTGAAATTCAACCTCTCTTCGTACACACCTTATAATTCACTTCAAAAAAATTTCCTCCAGTTGTTAGCATTGGCCACAACTATGAGTAGATGATAGGTCCGAAATACAGGACGTTTGACGATGCTGCTGCTTTGAAGTTAGTTATTATATCTGAAAGGGAACATGTCAGACGAAGATAAAAGTATTTCTTAAAAGAGAGAAACAAGTTGTGCTATCCGGTAATATTGGCGGGGTGACGGCCTCGTCCACTCACATTTAAATGTGCTAGTCGACGAAAGAAAACTTTGACGTTGAAATGTGATCGCGAAGAACAATACCAATCCAAGTAACAACCTCGTCAGGCTCTAACCACCTGGGTCCACGATAAATTTTGGGATGTTATCGTATAGGTCCAAAACGCCTCTCAAACAAACAATTGATTTTTTCCTCATCCATCAGTTTGAGTTCGAAACCCCGAGCCAAAGCTCGCTGCTATCGGTTGACCGTTCCTCTTCCCCTGTTCCAACGTGAAATACCGCATGTTAATTTACTTGAACGTTGATGTGAAAAAGAAGGTGTACATAAACAGTTTCGCGACAAAGGATACAGAACAAGATACATGACGAGTCACAAATTGCGTGTGTAACAGACCGAGATGCAAACAGAAAACACTACTCATCCTTTAGATCCAGCAAATCATCCAGCAGAATATCTTCGAGCGACGGTGCCTGCACGTCCGACCATCCCTCCTCCCCATCCACCAACTCGACCTTCTTCTTCTTCCCATCTCCCTCCACATTCTCCCCCATGTACATAAATCCGAGGAACTTTTGCCACATCTTTTTACTCTTCCCCAACCTCGTCGCCAACTCAATCCAACTCGGAATCGTCAAATCATCCATCGTATACGGCGCAAACTTGCTCTTGGTCCGATTCTCCTGCCTTAGCGACTTTGGCAATAAATGTTTCGGCACCGGTGGAATCCACTTGCGCGTCACATTCGCATCGGTCGTGTTCGGCGGACGAAGCGCCTCCACCGCATGTGTCACATACTCCAACTTGAACTTGGGCGGCTTCTTCTCCGTCGCTTCTGCCACGTCGGGGAGGTAGTATTGTGCGTAGCCAAGGAGCGACCAGAGACGGTTAGTCCGGCTGGGCGAATCTGGGCTCGCGTGGCGCGGACCCCAAGGCCTACACGCGTACTTTTCCTTGTTCTCGGGCTTAGAGCAGTCTGGTTTTTCGGGGTGACGGTGGTGGTGTCTCCGCTTTCCGTTCGCATCAACACCGTCGCGGTTATTACGGAACACGCGGGGTACGAAAGGTCGGTACGCCGGGTGGACCTCCACGGATTCATCTTCGTCGTGCGCGTCGTATTCCGAGGGGGGGACTTTGAGGGCGTTCCAGGACTCGGTGGTGTACTGGATATCATCCGTAATCTTGGGACCGCTATAGTCGGTGATGTTGTACTGGAAGATGCGGAAGGATGGGAGGTATGCGGGGACGATAGAAGGTCCGACGTTGACAATGATATAGTCGTCGTGATGGAGGTTCTTTGGGAGATGTTTGATGTCGCTCCTTAGGTCCTCGTGCAGGGCGGTCTTCATCGTCCTCATCGTTGGGTCTGTGGGCTCCATACTGAGGTCGTGAACCTGTTCGGCAATTAGCCTTTGTTTCTCCATTGAATGAAACTCCATACATCTAGCCAGAAGAAGTGGTCGACATTCATGTGCTAGAATCTAATCAGCAATTGCTCCAATGACCAACAAGTAGGCTTACTCCGAAAAAGTGACCAACAATAGTATCCTGACTGAAGAGGGTTAGAATTCAACACCTATGGGTCGGAAAAAGGTCTTACTATCGGATGCCCAATTGTCCATAACGGAAATGCTGCAAAAAATATCAGAAAATAAGCACACCACTTTAAACTTAACGTACACAGTCGGGGAAATAGTTTCCTGGACTAGGTGGAACGTGTCCCATCATGATGACTTGCATTCCTCGATCGC